AAATATTTTATCTATAACCGTTTCTTTACAGATTTAACGAGAACCCTTTCTTTACAGATTTAACTAGAACCGTTTCTTTACAGATTTAACGAGAACAGTTTCTATACGGATTTACCTAGAACCGGTTTTTATCAATTTGTTGAACGCCATTTCTTTAAAGATTTGTCGAAAGTCGTTTCTTTGTAGATTTGTCGAAAGCCATTTTGTTAACACAAATTCGAAATATAAGGAAGACGATTTTACCGACTCAAATACCGTAGCCTTTTCTCAAGACGTGTTTATCTATTTCCTCCATGAAGTACCCACATGTCAAACCCCGCTCATTCGTTCCCGCCTCAACCCTCTACAGATCCCAGCTCAGTCAGGTTAGGAGAGTTGAGCTAGTAACAGCTCCGACACAGGGAGCCTCTTGACTCCTTTATGATGATGACGCAGATACTCAGCTAGCAACAGACCTGCTTACCCGAAGGGTTCCCAGTTTATCATGCATCCCAGAGACAACATAATCGCGTCATGATAAAATCGCGATCTCTGCCTACTAGGTTGGATAAGCCCTGTTGTTCCAGTTCTTGTTGATCTGCTCCACCAACATGAAGCTCTACATCACTCCCATGAAGTACTCTCAAATATTCATCATTAATTCCTTTGTTAATTTCTAAACCAACCAATTTTAACCCATTCTTGGGAAAATATTTCAAAACTTTCGTTTTTATTAAATAAATGTTAGAAATATCCATTTTGATCTCTTTTATTTTATTATAGTGACTTTTAAAGTCAACACATTTCTATACAGAATTGCCTAAAGCCGTGTGTTTACAGATTTAACTAGAACTGTTTCTTTCAGATTTAACCAGTTCTATGCATATTTATCTAGCACCATTTCTTTACGGATTTAACTAGAAACCTTTCTTTACAGATTTCTCGAAAGCTGTTTTTTACAGATTTTCTAAAACCGTTTCTTTGAAGATTTATCTAGAACCGTTTCTTTTCAGATTTACCTTAAATGCAAAAATTTTATTTTTTGGAGCTAAAAATAATAAATACAATAAGGTACTTGAATATGATTTTGATATTTTAGTATCACTAATTAGTCTCCAAAATCGGTTTTTTAAAACTAGAGTTGAGTTTGGATAAAAGCCAGTAAACGCCTACACAAACAATTTATCTTTGTAAATTTGCAAGAGTTAAATATGTTTTTTCATCTGCTTATCATTCAATTTACTTTCTCTAGGCAGGAAAAATCTCTTAAAACCAAACATTTACCTCAATTTTAACATATATTAAGGAGATTTTAGCTCCTTGTAATGTAGCTCTATTTAGGTATAAATTAGATAGCCGTATGTTTAAGAATTTTGAAAACTAACTGTTTTCTCTATAAAAGTGACTTGCGCATTTCTGAACTGCATGGAATTAAACACAGAATTAAACACTTCAAACCTAGAAAAAGACATTTTCTTTCAAATTATTAATCAAACAAAGGTTTCAAGGGTACTGTTGCGATTCGGGCACTGCAGTCATCTTAGCATGGTGGGTCACTTGAAATAACACTTACTTACAGTCCATTTAGGAATTTTGAATTTATTTGCAAATACCGTTTGTGTCCTAAGTACAACCCACTACACATTTAAACTACATGTTTGACTTTGTTTGTATTTACTCCAGGTCATTTTATTACATGACTACTGGAAGGAATTCAAATAAACTTAGAAAATTATTTAGATTTAAAGTGGACCGAGTATGTAAGAATTTACTGAGATTTTTAGAGCGTAAAATTTGCAAATATTGGACTCAGAACTTTCTAAAATATTTTATACTTGAGGATAAGGTTGTAAAAAACATGTTTCCATGATAACAGAAAAAGATCGGAGAATGCCGCGAAAATTTAATAATTTTTTGTAATCGTCTTCCGTTTGTATTGCAGCCGACAATGATTAATTGATTTCAAAAATATTTTACATAAATCCGTAAAACTATAATATTTAGATCTAAAAGTGCGGATTCACGCCCAACCAAACCCTCAAGATCAAATGGTCGTCTTCATGTTTATAATCAGGTAAATTTGAACGGATAATGATAAAACTATAGGATAACATTTTTATATTGTCAATGTCCAAAAACATCCATGCATGCAAAAATGTTGTGGTAAGTATAAAGTTTGAGATTTTAAATAATTTTTGAACTCAAAAACTGACAGCTTCGGGTGTAATAATCTTCATGCATGTTGCAGCATAGCGTAACAGATAAAAGTTATGTAAGTTTCAAAATTTTAAAGCTTTCTCTGTCTTGTAAACTAAAATGATCAAAATTTACAGAAACAAGCTTAACATATGATGAATAAACAGGGTTACCCAAAAAAGATGAGACTTTGTAAATATATATTGTATGAATGATCTACCAAAGATAGAATAAATTATGGAACATGCAGCCTTTAAGCTAATTCTTATCTGAAAAATATGTTAAAGAGACAGCGCGACGATTAAATTCTTTTAAAGAGCTGTGTATTAAATTTTAAAATATAATTCGAATTAAATACAATGTTACCCAACCAGGATGAGACTTTTAAGACGACTTAAGACTTTTAAAATAAGACTATTTCAAGTTTAATTTATGTCTTCTGTCCTGAATATTGTCTTTAAATGGCTTATCTTATGATTTGACAAAGAAGGAACGAGTTCACAGTTGATTAGTCTCATTCTATGTGAGTAACCCTGTACTTAATTAGATAACAAAAAAATCCGTTGATGGACGCCCAAACTAAATTATAAGCAACACAACAGTCAGACTGAAAAAAGGCAGAAAAAATCGGACAAACAGAAAATTGACTTTTCTTTAGAGAAGTGAGAGCCATGAGAACCTTACAGAGGAGATGATGGGAGAAGTAGTTAAACAGCAGCATAGTGTCAGGAATAGGATCTAATCCCCCCCCCCTTACTCAACCTCCCTCAAGATCTCAAAATCTCTATTTCATCTGTTGTTTTACCAATTTAACACTACCTGTAAACAGTACGTATTTCTTCTAAGAAAGAAGATTCACTGTGAACCGCATTACAGAGATTGGGAGTTGCCGCTTTTGTACTTCAGAACACGACCTCGTCTACAGCAATCCGTTCCTTGCAGCTGGCAGAGTATAAACTGGTATCATTGTGCATGGTGCACAACCTATCAGGATTCTACTGTCGATGTTTCCATTTTCTTGTTTCTGGAGAGAGAAAGGGGGAAGAGAGAGAAGCATAGAGATTTCGCAGATTGGGAAACAGTACAAATCTGGAGGAAAGTAGGGATCTTCTTTGGGAGTTCCTGAATACCCTCTCTTCCTGACCTACTCCAATTACTTTCAATTCCTCCACATCATCCATACCTATTTTTCACAAACAGCATTTTTAATTGATTTCTTAATGGACAGATATTATGGGCTCCATTTTTAAGATCACGAGACGAAACTAGGATTTGAACACAAAATTCAATGTACAAAATAAATTTGGAACGATTGCCAAAACTTTACCCACTCAGGGCCCACTGCACCCACTCTTCTGACTTTAAAGCAGCCTGACCAACTGTGCTAGTCAGGCATTCCTGGTCACTACAATATATCTGCTAACTGAAGCAGAAGTACTGGTTACGACAAAAGTGTTTATTCAATATTATTGAAATCGGGAACAGTCATTTAAGAAAAAAAATCAAAGGAAGGAGAGAAACAATGACAAGAAGAATAATACAATTAGAATTTTATAAAATTGAAAACTCAAAATAATAAATTGTTAAAAAAAGTGCTACAAAAGATTCAACATGAATCAAAATTCGCACACTCTCACGCAAAAATCAGGATTTTGCCAATTCAAGTCAAACTTCAGGTCGATCGTTCTGACACTTCAAAATCGACGGGGCCTTAAAATCTGACGACAAACTTTCATAGTTTTCTGGTTCTCTGAGAGTTCTTTCAAGACATTTTTTTCATGAATAACACCTATATTTCAAATATTAAAGATAAAATTCTATAACATTTACAGCCTCAAGTTTAAAAAACGGAAAATTTTAGTTTGTAAATGATGCGGCAGTTAACAACTGGACATTGTTAAAAATGACCTCATTCATCAAGAAACTTTGCTAAAATTCTTCAAGTTCCTTCTACCTCTTTATTTTAACTATTTCTAACTCCTTATCTTTCAAGAATTTTTTAACCTCCCTCCCCCCTGATAAAGATACAGAGCTGAGGTTAAAAGCATTAAATTTTGATAATTTTGATAATTCACATAATAATTTTCTATGACCAGAATATTTCATTGATTTTTTATGTGAATGATGGATCCCATGTCAGGCTTCGACATCCGTCTTGCGTTTACATTAGCGCCCAGAGACAGTACATTGCAGTACTAAAGATGTGTACACTTCTGAAATGACTTTCCTTGCCTTACATCCTTGGTTAATGTTAACATTGAACACCACCTTCCCTAGTGTTTATAAACAACATAAAATTCAATTTTAAATTCTTACTCTCTCAATATTATGGCGAAAGATTTGTCCTTTTTCAGACTGTGTAAATTGTAATAAAAAAGTACTGATTAAGTAAATATTTCAGTTTAATAATATTTTAGATCGTTTACTTTTAAATATGCAAAGATCTAAACAAACAAGAGACCAAAACCCCCTTTCTCCATTGCCACTGCCATTGCCATTGCCAAAAAAGGGACCACTTGACATTACGTCTGCAGTCCCTTTAAGTAAGTAAGTAAGTAAGTAAGTACGTAAGTAAGTAAGTTAGTAAGTAATTTTTTATCTATGAAATATAACAAAAACATAAAAAATTAATGTTGCAGGAGAAAATATTTAAAAACCTCCAAAAATAGAGGTTGTGGGAATATTTCCCCCCAATTCAAAAAAAAATAAAAGACAAAGGAAAGGAAAGGAAAAGAAAAGGAAAGTTACATATTTTGAACTAACAACTTATAGCAATTAAAATCATAGATTTATTTGTAATGCTGAAAAAATAAAATAAGCTGTATGGGTTTTAAGTTTCCATATTTGAGGCTGAGAGTGAGAATGTTTATGTGAGAAGATGGGGCTGTGATCTGATGAGTCCAGAACCAAGAAGGAGAAATGTCACGGCCAGGTCGGTTTCTCATAGTTCCTTTTAACTGCAGGGTATTGCAAAATCTATTCTTTAAACGGACTCACAAAAGTCATAGTTATCGGGTTTCGTTTTATTTTAACTTTAGCTCCATTATCTTAAATTTGAACAGAGAGCAAGGTCAACGGAACTGAGTTCTTGACACCGCCTCTGATTTGTAGTCCCTATAAATTTGCAACCTAATGCCGTAGACCTTTAATTTTACAAAAAAAATCTATCTTTTAGATCAAATAATTGGAAGTTTAAAATATCAAAGGTTAAACCATGAGGTTGCAAAATCTTTTCTAATTTTTTTCCACAAAAGATACTTTGCGTATTTATGCAGCAGAGACAAAGAGGGAAGTTGACAAAACTTATTCTTTTTACAACTAGAAAAACCACTTTCTTTTTCACTCTAACTCAGATAAAAGTTTAAAGGGCATTAATTTTTTTATTGAACACTTAAATATATAAACAAGATAAGGTTAAAGTAATGTGAAAATTTTAACTAGGTCAACACTTACAATAGTTTAGAAACCTTTTCTTTGTCGGATTGATTAAAGAAACCATAGTTGCTCTTCATCCTTGCATCTTACTAATTGAATTGAAACCTTTTCTCAGTAAAACTTTATTTAGTCACTAGGTTTACTATCTTATTTTCTCATTTTCCTCTTTTCGAATGGCAGATTTTGAAATAATTTTGAGGCAAAATTTTTAGAAGCATAAACTTTTCATGGGGTCAATTGTGTGTTACCACAAAAACTGTCAACCCGATTGGTTTCAGTCGGTTAGACATTTATTGGATTTTTTTTGCATTAGAGTCAAACTACGCCTTAATCAAATGATTTCTAATGCTAATCAATTAAAACCAATCATATACAAAATAATTCTTAAAAATGGATTTTGTACTGACAGAAAAAATGTAATCAAACCAAATATTAGGCAAAAATTTAAAGATTTATACTTTTTCCTTAAATTATTTATAGCCGACATACTTCAGCAGCTCAGTATAAGTTTTTTTTTGGGGGGATGGGGGGTCCAAAAAGGAAGCAATAAATGTGAAAAAAGATAATTTTTTCTGATAGCTCTTTCTTTTTGTTTTATAAGCTGGACAACAATTTTATCCAAAAAAAAAAAATTAAAAATATTTATTTTTCCAGGTATAAGAAGAAAGAATTGCCTAACCCTGAGTTTGTTTCCAAACTGCAGAGGTCTGACCTACCCGGAGCTTCTGGAAACCTTGGGTTTAGATCTCCGGGTTCAGTTAACTCCTCTAGGGTTCAGACTCCGCAGGATCTAGACGTTGAACTCTCCAACTATATTGCCGACATGGACGAGATCAGGGAGAAGAACTCAGAGGATCTCATCTCTGAGACCAAAGTTGTGGTTTGGCCCCCAGTATCCGAGGGTAGGACGGATACACCGGAGTTTCTAACTCCTCCGTCTAGCTATGCTACTGAGAACTATTCTTCAGACCAGGATCAACAAATCATTCAACATTCTCAAAATTCTAAAGAAAATAAACTGAACTCAAATTTTGAATCTTTCCAGAACTACAGCAGCTCCCAGCAATATTCTATCCAGGAGAGCCACTCTAAGAGTAGCAGCTTTCGACAGAGCAGCTCCCAACTAACTCAAAAGAGCAGTTCCCAACAGATGGGCTTCAAGCAAAGCAGCTCAGTAACTCCTATTGATCTACTGGATGAGATGAGTTGGAACCTGACTAAATCTACTTCAGGAAACCAGGAAATAATCAAGTCTCCAGTAAACAAGAGACAGAAAACATCCCGGAGTAAATATTCCAGGGATAGTCTTGCTGAACTAGATGCTCAGATCACAGATATTCAAACACAATTTGAGGCAGAGCTGGATAATCTCATCCGGATAGCAGGTAGATACTTTATATATATCCGGATAGCAGGTAGATACTTTATATATATCTGGATAGCAGGTAGATACTTTATATATATCTGGATAGCAGGTAGATACTTTATATATATATCCGGATAGCAGGTAAATACTTTATATATCCGGATAGTAGGAAGATACTTCATATATATCCGTATAGCAGGTTGATACTTATATATATCCGGATAGCAGGTAGATACTTTATACATATCCGGATAGCAGGTAGATACTTTATATATATCCGGAAAGCAGGTAGATACTTTATATATATCCGGATAGCAGGTAGATACTTTATATATCCCTAAATATAAAATCAAATATGTTCGGATGATGGGTAGAAACTTCAAATATATCCGGATAGCAAGTAGATAATTTAAATATATCCGGATAGTATGTAGAAATTTAAATAAATCCGGATAAAAGTAGAAAATTTAAATATATCCGGATAAATGTAGAAACCTTAAATATATCCGGATAAAGGTAGACACTTTAAATATATCCGGATAAAAGTAGAAAATTTAAGTATATCTGGATAAAGGTAGAAAATTTAAATATATCCGGATGAAAGTAGAAACGTTGAACATATCCGGATTAAGGTAAACACTTTATATAAATCCGGATCAATTATTTGACAGAATTAATTTTTTAACTTTATCAATTTATTTATTTCTAATTTATGTTATGAAACAAATTAATTGATACATGTATTTAATGCAGAATGCAGATAATCATTTTTCCAATCTTCTTGTTTCCTGGCTATCCTGTTTTGCTCATTCAATTAGCTGCATACCCCCCCAGGATGATTAATATGCAGTTTCGAGATGCTGATAAGGCAATTTGTAGTATTTCAATATCAGCTCTTGAGTTTCTGTATTTGTTCCAGTTGTTTTTGATATCGGCCATCTATGCAGGTTTATTGCTGACATTGTTGTAATGAGAACTTCCCTTTGTCAGCTGCATTACATGTATCAGTGTCTTGCAGTAATTTAGAAAGAAATTAAAAGACCTCCTAGCCTTAACTGCATTCGG